TTAGAAGATTTCAAACTCCAATCAAGTGTCTCTTGGATACGGAAGGACTCGGTCTTTGAACTTTGAACTGCTTAGGATTCTTGTTATGGCTGGTTTTTTTAAAGCAGTCAACGATTAATATGAAGTAAATTCAAAATATCCTATGTAGAAATCAGAGAGAAAAATAAAGGGATGTTTAAATTTCTGATATATTTGTGCATCTTCAGCCGTTTATCTGCAAAATAAGAAAGGAAAAGGAAATTAGTAAAAATTGGTCATTTCATCAATGAATTCTTTGAAGATTACTGGTAATTTCAGCAAAAAATATTCCATCAATGAGAAGTATACTTACCATAAGTAGATCATCTTCATCCTGGTTGAGGTTTCGATGGGGTTGGCAAAAGTTCGAGACTCTTGTAACGCCGTAAGGAGAGCAAGCTGCATGAATTGATTCGAACATAATGAGTAACTCACAACCTGCTTTATTCAAGACAAATAAAGCAAGACTAAAAATTGAATTACCTCGCCCCTCCAACTCCCTTTGAGTTCTTTCCCTAGTTTGAGCAGTAGTTGTTGTGCAGTTGTTGTGCAATTGACAACCGTTTCAGCGTTGATTTCCAATCCAACCAAGGTGGTAATTGAATCACGCATTGTAGTTAATGTTGTCTCCATTTTCGATTGCTTATACCTTGATTTTCGGATTTGGAAAATTTTTGGAACTGATAGTAAAATCCGGAAATGTTGATGCGCGTGTATATATAGTGGCTTTTTTTTTCTTTTTTCGGCTCACATATATTAGTGTTATAGATTAGTGATAACGTGAAAAAGGTCAATAATAATTTTTTAATGTTTGCTCTAGTTAGAAACAACATTTTTGCAAATCCGAAAATCAAGGTATAATCCTAAATATAATAAACTCTTCAATTTAGGAAGTTATATAAACGGTTAAGCAAACAAACCATTTGAAATTTGAAGGATAATAATTCACTATAAAAAAAGAGAAGATGAGGATTTATCAGAAAGTAATATTGAATTTGACTGTAAATAAATCCTAAATATATGAAAGTAAGAAATGGAAAATGATGAATAATAAGGTATATTGAAGTCGAGACCAGCGATAATTTAGCGATAATTATTGAAATATTAAAATCGAGACCAGCGATAATTATTGAAATCGAGAATTAAGCTAGATCGATAAACAAAGCTACCAATATATGTAGATCAAAACCCTAATACATCATCGATAAAGCACGCAAGATCAAATCCCTAATAATACATCTTATATACAAATCGAGTGAGAATCAATAATCATGAAAAGCAAAAACGAGAACAAGAACGAGAATCAAGTTAGATTATACCTTGATTTTCGGATTTGGAGAAATTTTGGGACTGAGAGTAAAATCCGGAAATGTCGATGCGCGTGTATATATAGGGGCTTTTTTTTCTTTTTTCGGCTTACACAAAGATTAGTGATATAGATTAGTGATAACGTGAAAAGGGTCAATAATAATTTTTTAATTTTATACTCTAAAGACAATACTAAGGGCAACACTAGTAATAACGACAACGTGTAGATCCAAATGATTTGATGTCCATGTACGAGGATTCAAAAAAGCTACCACCATTAGGTCCGA